AGAAATTAAAATGGGGCAGAAAAGATTAAAATTAATTGTTAAAATATTTCACTTCATTTTTTAATCAAAAAAGCTAGACCGATATATTTCTATATTCTGCTAATGTTGATTAATTGTCCTTTAACCTTAAATAGATCACGTCGAACGGTTTAATAAAAGTGATATTTGTTTGCACCCTTCCTGAATATGTCGCGAGAGATGAGTTCCGTTTCATTTTGGCATTAATTTATTGTCTCGCAAAATAAGTTAGTTTCAGTTCACAATGCTGTGAAGAAAGAAAAAATTCGGTTTTTTATTTGCAACGTGTCCACGACGCCACGTTGTTCTTTCTTTTTTGTACACTTTGATTTCTATATGGCACAATTTCTTGCTTTCTCTACTTTTTCTTTTGTTATTTTATGTAGACTCCGTTACCGGCAAACACACAACTGAACTTAAATGCATATTGTGCGTGCTTGCTCTTATCCTGTTGAAAGAGACCAGACAGTAAATGCCAGCGACTCTGTCGATGTACGAAATATCCAGTAAACTTAGATACAATTACAGAGGTGTTTGGTGAGAGAAATACAAATATATAAAGAAAATATAATAACAAAAGTAAGAAAAAAAAAAAAAAAATAAATAAATAAATAAAAAAAAGAATAAATAAAAGTAAACCTTGAAAAGAAAAAAGCAAAAGCAAGAACACAGAAAATCTTGCGGTAGAAAAGTAAAGGGGCATCAAATGAAAAACTTAACGGTAAAAGCACAAATACCGGTGTATCGGTATATAAGAACAACAATAATAATAATAATATTCGCTCTCAATACGTCTAGTTCTTAAGCAAACATACAGTCAGCGGCATAATGGGTCTTATTTCCTCTTTTACTTAACTTTCTTTTTTTTTAACTTCAATTTTATCATCACGTCACGAAGGTCATTTGTCCGTCTAAAGGGAGGGAAAGGTATTAGCAATAGGGGATATGCTATCAACATAATCATCGTCACCATAAACGTTTATTACTACACAATGATTGTTATGTCTGCATGATGTATATTTTGTTTCTTAACTTCTGTTAGTATTAGGTTTATGAACGTTAGATAATGTGACAATATGGACAGGCAGGCGTAATTGCCAAAATTGTCGCTGACAGATTAATGAGAACCCCTTCGCAAACGTATGTCCATGTATTCAAATGTATAGACAGACATATAGAAAGATTTATAAACTTTACTTAGTGTGATTTTAAAGTTTTTCTTAAAAATTTCCGGAAGTAACAAAAACAATACATCTAAAACATGTAAGAAAATTATATTCGGTTGCAACCGGATCTTTTATAGCCCTTACCATTATATTATGGAAGATTAAAAAAATTTGTATACTCTATAATATTGTGTGGGCGTGGTTGCTTTTTCTATTTTTGTTGAATAATCTTGTGGATATTATTGTGTATCTGTTGTAGTTAATGAGAAAGACGCAAAAGACACGGAGAGCAAAAGTGTTCTTAGGTTTTGTTGTGTACACGTGTGGGCGCGTCTTTTTAACTGTTTTTTCTGAACGGGAGAGCGTCTACCACAGATGTTATACAGTTTCGCAGACGGGCAAATGGGCGGACTAGCAGACAGACAGGCGAACACATGGACTTGTTTAGCTGCATTCCGAATTTGAGGCTGGCCAAAAATTGGTATACTTGATGGAATTTTTGAAGCTTGCTTTTGTGTTTTATAAAATAAAATTAAATTATAACGTACTATAAAATTGAGTAGTCGTGGTCAATTTTTTCCATTTTTGAAGAGCTACTACCGCATCGCCTATAGAATCTATGTTCTGGTGTAGTTTATGAATAATGAACAAAAAACCATTTTTTTTTTTCTTTTTGAAAAACAGAGACGTTTTGCAGTTTATGTAGGAATGTAGGCGTGTCCCTCGCCATATTAAGCTCATTTTCAATACCAATACTGCTTGCAACCTCCAATGTGTCTGCCAAAATTGAAAGTGTTTACAATAGAAAGACACACAGACAGACAGACGGACACGCTTAAGTGGATTTAGAATTTGATACTGATCAACAATATATATAATTGGTGGGATCTTTGAAGCTATCTTCTGGGCGTTGCAAATGTTTTGATAAAACGACTATACTTCTCAATCTCCACCGATGGGTGTAATACACGTAGCAAATTGTGAAGGATTCCTGCGTGTGATCAGCTAAAGCAAGATTTCCCTCCAAAGCGAACTCGTTTTTTTCGTCTAAATGCTAAGCGTTCGTCCGTTTTTAAAATTTGGAAACAAGTATCAAGCAATGTATATAACGCTTAATTAACGACATTTTCAAGCGGAACTAAATCGTTTTTATTTGCATCTTCCTTCTTCATTTCATGCAAAAAGAAAGGTTTAGGATAGAGTTGTCGGTACCCAGCACCTTATTTCAATATCTAAAAACTGCAAAATATTTTGATAGATTTTGGGACGCCAATTTACTGATCACGACCAGTATTTTACATTCTTTTCGGATGGCCTTGGGAAATACTTGCTTGTAAAACATTAAAATCAAATGTAAAATCAAATTTTGATTAAAAGTCATTTCTTGGATGAGGAGAAAGAACCGTACAAACTCAGCGTTGACCTGGAAATTGGTATGAAAAAAATTTGTCACCGCTTTGCTGATTTAAACCGTAGTCGCACGGACGCTGATGGTCCTGAACGCAGTGGGCGCCCAAATATAAAACGCCCAAAAAGTAAAAAAAAAATACTAAAAAATATCAAGAGGCCCCTGAAATTTACTGTCGATAATCGAAAAATGAATTTGCCGTAAATAGCTAATATTTTCTGAAGATATCAAAACGCTATCGGCTATCTTAAAAAAAGAACTGCGACCAATTATCTAGCACTTTTGGGTTGATTGAAAGACGAAATTGCAAGGAACGCTCCTAAATAGCATAGCAAAGTGTATTTTCATAAAGACCATGACACGCGTCAAAGGTCGAGGGGTACAAGCGGAAAGCTGTATGCTCAAAAAAAAAAAAATAGTTTTCCAAATGCGACATGACCTCTCAACCAAGTCCAAATTGTGATTTGCAGAATTTTGCTGCTCTTTGTTTATTTTTCTTTTATTTTCTCATCCACTTTCATTAGTAATGTTTGATTTAGCCATTCCTTGGAAGCACCCCAACAGACACAATACCTTCTTGGCGCCACTAAATCGATGCGATGGCACTTTTTCATATAACTTAATTTTTGATTCATTTCGGTTGTTTACGCCTAGACGATGGTCGTTTTCGGACAATTATTAGTATCGAGTTCATACCAAGTTATTATCGCTTTGAGTAAAGAATTCGTTAAAGTACAAGAAATAATTTTATCAAATTTTGGATCTCTCGTTAATTTGTCTATCCTATGTGTTTTTGAATAAAAGATGCATGGGGAAGTGTTAGCGCAAATAAGCCCTTTGGCTTTTTTTTGGACGCTGCATGGAATTATACTATGATAACATACTTAAAAATGTTTACAATTTCTAATAGAATATTTACATCGATCAAAGAAAGCGAGTGCATACAACACAGCTTTCACCCTCTTTGCAATGTTACACGCTACTCTCTGCAAACCTTACCTCTTAGACAAATATCTGTATATCAATATATGCAGCTGTCTGCTTTCCCGAATTGCAGTCTTAAGGATTTGTCATAAGGTAATAAGGAAAATTCATAATTGTCGTGCATAATAGAGAGATATACTGTGAATTAATATGGCCCATGGAAAAGAATTTGCTATTAATTTTTCCATGTTCTTTCTAAAGAAGCGTTAGATTTATCAAATTTTTTATATCGAACCGCTCGCTCGCGGTGCAAAAAGAATAAAGAACACTTTAACTCTACGCACTATCGTTGAAAAGAAAGACAAGATGAACGAGGCACCTAAGTTCAGGCAATTTAACAGGAACTCGAGTGAAAAGATTATAAGAGAAGGAAAGAGAGATAAGATTAAGAGGGGGAGAGGGAGAAAGAGAGCCAGATTGAAGTAGTGATACTCGCTCAGCACGCAAGAAAGCTTTTCGACTGTTTTAATTCTTCTCTTTTTACACTAGGCAATGAAAACGGCTTATATGCGTTCCTTTGTTCCAATATAGCAATATGTAAGAAGTATTTTCGTCCTGAAAGATCACTTTAATATGTCCTTTATGAACGTTTAGTATTCTTTATTATTTTGCATTAAGTCTAAGAAATTTTTAATTGATTATATTTAGCTGATTTCCTTAAAACCAAATCATCATTTTCGAAGCAGTCTTGTTGTCGCTGACCTAGATGATAAACTACAGCGTAAATTTTTTCTCTGAAGTTGTACTTTCCATTACGAATCTTCTCCTCTGAACTTTTACTTACGCGAGTGAATTTTAATTTGCCCAATATTTAACTTTTCTTCTATCCTCTTAAAGGTTTCATTTTAATCATTAGCCAAATATATGATATCCTTATCTATCATCGATTCCTATTGAGTTTGTTTTTCGAAATATTTTTTTATTGTTTTAGCTATTGTGTTAATCGATTTAAAATTTTAAATTATCTAAATATATGTTCATAAATCATAAACTCAGATCTCTTTATTAATATATTTTATTATTTACGCATCTAGTCAGTAGACATTGTAATCTTTACCATGATAATTCATTCAGTTTCATAATTATATAACATTGTGTTTAAAAAATAAGTTGAATTTTCTCTTTAAAATTGGCAGACACTGTGAAATCATGAAATGACTGTCTCCAGAGTAAGGGGTTTTTTTTATGGGTTGGTAGTACTGTCTTTAACATATAGAGTTTCGGGTCAAAAAATTCAATTGTAATTTGGCTTTTCCGAGCACAAAATTTGTGTTCAATTTTGTTTCCGGAAGGAATGAATATTTAGCACCGGAAACACTGAGGATGTGAGAGAATGCCTTGAATGATGAGACTAAGTGGTACAAAGATTTCAAAGAAGACCGAGAATGAATTCAAGACGAATAGCATCCGGGAGCACCACCAACATCTAATGACGAAAACCGTACCGAGATAATCAAAGATTTAGTGAGCGAAAATTGCCGATTGTTAATTAGAGGCTTTAGTGATGCTGCAGCTATGTCATTTGCGTCAACCTGAATGAATTTAAAAAATGCTTTTTGGCTCAAAGCTCGTGAGATCTTAATTGTTTTTTTTTTAATATTTAAATTTTTTGAAAACAATTTTTGAGCATTTCCTCAAAAACTTGCTCTACGCCGTTGCATAATCACCATATTCACCTAATCTAGTGCCGTGAAATTTCTGGCTGCTCAACAAAGTCAAAAAATGTCTGCAGAGACACCGTTTATGGTCGACTGAAGAGAAAAAAGCCAAATGGAACGAAATATTGCAACCCATCTAATAGAACAACTCTCTGACTGTTATGTAGGTGCATTATTTCGAACGACGACCGAGGGCGATGAAATTGATTTGGGAGAATAGATATATATATATATATATATATATATATATATATATATATATATAATAGGGAGAACTTCTTTCACTTCATAAAAAAAATCAAGTTACGCGTTTGATCACTTTGGCAGCATATATTAATTTATAAAATAAAAACAAAATAAATAAATAATTTCATGACGTATTGCTGTACGGTGTGATAAGGTGTCTGAAAAAAATAATATGTCCCCAGCGTTCCCTCAACGCTTTGAACTGCCTTATGTTGACACATTGACCATTATAGAGCAATATAAATGATACTATATGCAAGGAAGAAAAATGTCATTTTTTATTTTATGACAATCGTTCGGACTTGATTACTTTATTTTATTGGAAAAAGGGATCTTTTTGCGAAACGCGGGAAGAAAGAAGGAATCATCTTGTAAAAATGTTTTCAATATCTAAAGGGAAATTTCAGACACCTTGCAATGTGTAAATAATTTTGATGGGCAGCAAACTCTGAATCTGTTCGTTCGGCTGTGTGTATGTCTGTAAAATGTTTACGGTTCGTTCGAAATTAGGCAAAAAGATTAAAAGTTTTTGCATGCATGAAAATGGGCTATGTCGGTCAAAGGATACGCACTGAGTATCGTGAGATCACTTTTATTTTTAAATGTTAAAAAAATGGGTTTTCTGGATATAAATATAAAAAATTCTACTATAGATCTATTCTATTCTATAGATCATTCTACGGTATCTGTACAAAAATGGGAAGTCACGCCTAGCATTACAGAGATTTACAATTTCACTATTTTTCGTAGGGCGTCCAAAGAAGAAAAATTAGCAAATTCTGGAAAACTCTACGTAATCTACATATGAAGACTACTCTTCAACGTAAAAAATTTGTTTTTAAGATCTAGAAAGTTAACGAGTTTCACTTGGAAAGTAACCCTAGTACATGTTTCATATTGGGGATGTTCACGGAATCTGGCCACAGCAAAATCGTTGCTTCGCGCATTTTAACGTTCTCAAATAAGAAAATATCGCTTATTTTGGCATTTAGTACAGAGACTTGTACGAAAATTCCATCCTGGTGAGTAAAGAAATTGGAACCTTTCCTTTTCGAGAAACATTTTATAACTTTTACAAATTTGTTATCTTGGAAGAAGCCAAAAATGAAGAAAAACTCTAAATAGTGGATAATGATAGTCCTCCTCGACGTTCTGGTGTCTACTTATGCTAAGGTATATTCTGCAGGGCATGTTCTGTTCCATCACATAATTCATAAAAGTGCTGCAACTCTCATAACTAAAGCTAGAGGTATACTGCCAGCTGTGAACATAGCTTGTAAAACGAAACTCGAAACTGTTTTTGTGAATTATAGCGTATTCGTGTGAAAAAATATCTGGAATTCCGCGGTTCTGAACTGGACCATCATTAACCAATTAAAGCTGCTAGTGCTCAACTTTGTTTGCGTTTAGTTAAAGAATTTATTTCATTAATTTGAAATAATAATAATAATAATAATAATAATAGTAATAACAATAATAATATCTTTAAAAACTTCTAATACTCTTCTAAAGTGAAATCCTGGCCATATTAATATTCTCAGTGAAGACTTTGCAGACAAGTTAGCTAAAGTGTCTCTTTCATCCAATCCCCTTCCACGTTGCTAACGAAATATTTGATTAATTGTGATAAAATACCGAATCTTCCGTCGTACCAATTATTAATTTTAAAGCGATACAAACTTTTAAGCCTATTAAAAAGAATTTCAAATTGTAAATCACATGTACTTATAAACTCTTACTATCTTTAAATATTATATGTCATTCAATAAATTTGTGGTCTGAAAAATATATGGTAAGATTATCGTTAGACCAATACGATTTCTGGATACTACTGACCTTCAACCGATGTCAAAATTTAATGACGCTTTGAACATTAGTTTACAAGTTATAGTTGTTTAAGTGATATTAGTTCTTTTGTTGCTTGTGCTTTGGGTTTTACCGGTTAATGTCCGCTAGGCTGATAGCTGATTCTGGGCTGTGGTGGCGAGGTCTTTCTCACATACTGTATGGAGAAAAAATGGCAAATAGCGCTCTGAGCATTTTATTGTCAAAAGTGAGCAAACACCGGCACCAACTTCGAACACAACTTTCTGATGGGCAAATATTCTTGCGAAATAGTAAATATACTACCTTCTGGTGTTCTTAAGGTGTCAGCTATCTGACGCAACTTTACTTTTCTATTTTCCGGTTTTATGAAATTTTTGTTGTTCTTAATTCGTTGTTGTTCGAATTCTACTGGTGTCCATATGACTTTGCATAAAATTAGCAAACTAATCGCATACTTATTCTTTCGACACACAAGAGCCATCATCACAACTTTCAAGCCAATACTGAGTGTTCTTCTCATCAGAAGGCAATGTTTTACCAACAAACAGGACAACAAACGATTTTTGAATTGTGTTGAAAATTGCAAAAGTAATGTCGCTAAAATAATTGTAACTTGTAAACAAATTGCAAGAAATGTGAAGTGAAATTCTGACACGTAAACTTTTCACTATTCAGAAGTCCAATGGGTCTGCCAACAGTGTTGCCATCAGACCGAAGACTTATTCAGTAATGTATTAATTAACAATACAGTTTAGTTTATACAAGGCTTAAAAGCCTTGTAACTATAACTTTCCCCTTTTGTTTTACCTTATAATTTTAATTATAAGCAAATTCTTAGTACAAATATCATAAATATATAGAAAAATTTGTACTGATGTACGTTTGGGCAACTTGATTCGCTTGTCTCTAATTAATCGATTTATCAGTAAATTTATGCTCAATATATATTTTGTAGTATAATAGTATACAGTATAGTAGAATATTTTACAAGAGTTTTGATGATTATTTATATCTATTAAAGGCGAAAAAAAGGAAATTAGCACTGATGGTTGTCATAACGATATAAACAAAAGCCGACCGATATTTGGAATAGCCAATTCGAGTTCACTTATAGTATTTCTAAGACACGCACGATCGGTGTGGAAATGTAAGTTAGTTTAGCTATGTTGTTCAATAATTATTTGTAAGCATAGTTTTCGATTTTTATATTGAATTTTTTCTTTCTTTTCAAGATAGTTACAAGCTGTTCGCTCGTGCTTTTAAGTCTTTTCTGTGTACAAAAAATATATTAACGATTAGTCCCATATTTTTTGTATCGGAAAGTAAAGAGTATACTTTTCTACTTTGATATAACGTTTACGATCTCAAAATGTTGCTTAGAACAAATAAGAAATTTATATAGGTTAGGGGAGCGCGGAACACAATTTCCAGCTTTCCTTTTGAATGAAGCTTAAAAGCTCATATCGAGAATTGTGGATTGCTATCCCAAATTTTTATGTAGAGACAGCTTCACTGGAAGAGGGACAGAAGATGGACATTGATTAACTGACTGATGTTAATCAAAAAGATACGCGTTTTAAAGGATCTGTGATGAATGCCCTAAAGTTCTAATCCATCCCGTTGTTATGAATTAGAAACTCCCCCGATTCTCAGATTTCTTTGTATAATACGATTATATAACTGTTTTTGCTTGTGCTTGTTAATCGTTGGAACGTCATCTGAACAGGATGCTTATGTCAGCTATTACACAAATTAAAAATTCTCAAAAAAAATAAAGATTATATACTTAAGACAAATGTTTTTTTACGCTTTAAAAACCATACACTAAAAAATAAGGGAGGGGAGGAAATAGTAGATAAGAATAGATTCCGATTAAGTCGAATATAATTTCTTCCTTCGTTCTTTTTATACATATTGTATTCATACTAAGTGAGAATGCAGTCAATTCTTTCTTTGTATCGCGTGAAACAATAGGCATAAAATGGGCGTAGAAATAAAAAATTCTTATTGAACCAAGTGTGTTTCTTAATCGTTTAAAGAGTTTGCTTAGAATCAAATCGAAGAGTCAAGAAGGCGACATATGCAAATTACCTATACATGTACATTATGCACTATGAAAATGGGAAAAAATATGATTTCATATACGACATATATATATGTTTCATATAATACGATAGTTTCACGATAGAGATAAGATGACTTTATTGCTTTCAATATAAGCTAATATGATGGGTATTAAATAATACGGTCGAAGCCGAGTATAATTTCGCTTTTGTTATTTATAAAAGCCTGACTAAATTTTATATAAAACAAACAAACATAACAATGTATATATATGTGATGAATACTTTTATTTCACATACATGCCTCACTATATAACCAGCCGTAGATGACATTAAATAACAGTTGAAAAGGACGTGCCCTCTGTTTGTCAGCATTATATTTGTGTACTTCTATGTAAATATATGTAGATAAATATAGAGAAGAGTATAAAAAAAGGAATTAAAATTAAAAACAAATGAAAAAACGTAATCAAAAGTAGCAATTACAGCAACAATAGCGGCATACTATGCTGTCTATGTGAAGCTAAATTTTTTGTGTAGAAAATTAGTTAAAAATTTATTTCCTAACCGAATGTACATGACATTCATAAGAGGAGCTTACATTCACGTAGGGCCCTAAGCAACATGAATTCAATTCGTATCGTATATATGGATGAATTTAATGAGAAATTTTTTAAATACCCAAAATATGCTACTAATATACGTTATATTTTTTTAAAAATTAAAAAAAAAAATTTTTTTTTCGAAAAATTCTTCTAAAAAATTTTCAATGAATGCTGACAATTGTAAGATATTAAAAGCTTTTAGCACTCTTAGATAAATGTCATAAACGTGGGTTTAATGAAATTTGCCTATGTGCTTGTGTTTGTTTTTTTGTTTGTATATGAATAAATTTATTATTAGTGGGCGTTGTTAGAAACAAAAAAAAAAAAAAAAAGAAACGTTACAATGTAGAGGCAAACTTTCAACACACATACAAATAAATGAATGAGCGAATATTACACATATAACTGACAAATTTTTACTTACGCCATTCCATTTATTATACTTAGAATACATATGAATGCGATGATATATATAAATTTATGTAAAAAAAAAAAAATAAAGTTGGATCCCCATTAGAGCAACTGCTATGGCTTTGGTTAATGTTTGTTATGTCTAACATATATGTGCACTTCGTACCAATACATAAACATATTTGCAATTTGGTTTTAACCCATACAAATACTAAAATGCAAACACACCGACAAAATGGAAATGAATTTAGAAAGTTAACCTTCTTTTCTATATTTTGCGAGTTTATGCATCTACGCATCCATGTACGTGCCTATCTATAGCATGATGAGCGCCTTACATAATTTGGCTTACGTATATACAGTATATTTATAGAAGTATGAGGAACTGAAAATTTTTAACATGCTTTGTAATTTCTTTATATTTATACATGGACACATGCATAAACACATACACGTATATATATATATATATATATATATATATATATATATATATATATGTATATATATATATGATTGTAAATACGCATTGTACAGTTGTCTACTTTACGCTAATTGATAATTGGTTTTGAAAGGGGTAGGGGGTGATAAAAACACATATCATAGATGCTATAAATACTCTCCTTTCTTATATTAATGATGATATGATTACGTTTCGAAGGTTAAATCTTCTAAAATGCCGGCATTATTTGCCACGTCTTGAAAATATGAGACTCGTTGCTATATGTTGTTTATATTATAGAATCACTTAGTATATATTGGCGCTTTTACGGTTTCTCGAATATTAGAATAACTTTGCATGCGGCAATTACTAGAAATATGGTCACGGAGTTTTTCTTATTCTCCCTCTTAGAAAGCATATTTTTCTCTTTTCTACTAGCACTATTTATTCTAATCGTTGTACTAACCAAAACTATATCCATCTGATATTGTCTACTGAGTCAGCAGCGGTAGTTATCTGTCATATTCTATTAGAAGTTCCGCTTTGTACATGATTGGATTTGAAATAAAAACTATTGCCATCCATCAAAAGTGTTGTATAAATATTTATCAGACTTATTTAGACATTTGATACAAATATTTATCCGAAGCCGATGATAGATTAGAATTGAAAGTTTGATCTAAAAGGTATCCAAATTTCTTTTTTTTATATCCGGTAATTTTGTATGCGACCTGAAAATTTCTATAGTACCTACAAATGCATGTATCGAGAATCTCCACATGTGTGAGCAGATATTTCGATTTATTTCTATATTTCTCTTCGGTTTTTTCACGGCTATCACGTCCAAAATTGTTTGTAGAAAAACAATCAAGGTTTTTGTTTTGTTCGAAAGTAACTATCATTCCGTTTAGAATTACTTAAAAGTTTATAATTTTTCGTCTATGTCCTTCTAAGCTTAATTTTTATTTTGGTAAAAAAGGATTTCATATACATATATATTTTAATATTAAGTTTTCCGAAATTTTTGCATTATGTTCTCTATAAACCTTCTCGTCGTTAGTATGAACACTAAATGAGATCATTTTATTGATTTTGTTTTGTGACATGCGTGAAAATTTAAATGATTAACAATTAATGATGTTTTAATAATCTTTTTCCTTTTGTACTTGGCTTTATTTTTACACACTTTTTATGTATGTGCTTCCAAATAAAATTATACATAAAATGAATTCTGCGTGAAATAATAGAAAATTAAAAAAAAAAAAAGAAATAAAATGGAAGAAACAGAAATAAAACACTAAAATATATATAAATAAAAATAATAGATCTCCTCTTCTCTCTATATACCATGATTTTTGATTACTTTACGTATGCATACATATACATATGCAGATAGATGGTAAACTCAGACCCTAACCTTCGACTTTAAAATATTATGTTATATGTAAAAAAGTGCGATACCATTACATATATATTAGTTACGGTAGCATATGTTTACAAGCATATAAGTCAATACATATGTATGTATGTATGTATGTATGCATGTATGTATGTATATGTATATAAAAATAAGCGTATATATAGGTATGCGTATGTATAATTGTAATACCTAACACATTACATATTAAAAAATAATGTGAAAGTCACACACAAAAATAATATACCACGCCTGTCTGATTGTTTTTAATTTTTATTTTTTTACTCAACTAAAAAAGAAAAAGAGAAAATAGAAACATGAAAAAAAGTGAATTTTAAAATGTACTCCTGTCATTAAGTTCCCCCCTCAAGCGTGCTGTCCTCCTTTTCCACCCTCTATTCGACTCGTATTATATTTGAGATTTTTTTGTTTAGTTCTCTCTTTTTTTTATTTATCTATTCTTTAACTTTTTTTAAATTTTATTTATACCTTCTTATTTTTATTTTTAAGGATAAAGATTTAAATATAATACAATCGACCCGGTTAACATTATTTTCTTTTTAATTGTCATAATGACGGCTAATGAAATTTGCATAAGCGGAAGCGGCTGAACAATAAATGTTTATTAATTAAATACAAAATACATAAGACAAACAGTTTTTAGTGGCTTTAGATGATATGTTTTCAATTTTGGTCAACTAGGCGTCACAAACAGACAGTTAAACTAAATAAAAAATATGAAGTGAAGTTTAGACGTAGTTCCTATAGAACAGACTTACTATTGGCCGCTATTTTTATTTTTTTTTTTTGATTCAACTCGAATTACAAATAGTTACAATCGTATACAAATTTACTAATATGCATTGTGATCGATAGATGGGTATCATTTTAATTTCGAATTTTTTGGTGTGTGTGTGTGTGTGTGTGTGTCAAGATTTTATTTTAACTTTTGCAACTTTGACCTCGAAGTCTTGTCTACAATAGATAAAACGACGAGCAAATAGACGATCAAAATTAAATTGACTCAAAATCAAATTTCAATTCCCTGGTTTGTAAAAAATTTCATTTTCGTGCGAAAATAAATCTAGAATAGATGTGGCCCAGCTTTCAATTCACTTTGCATCTTTTCTTAATTAAACGTTTGCCTCGTGTAGCGCCATAACCGCCTGAATTAGGTTACTAGCAAGTAATCAACGAAAGTGTTTAAATTTTTGGCACATTTTTTTAAAGTTAAGTTTCTACATGAAAAAAACTAATTACGTCTTGACAAACTCGCAGTCGTTTACAAGATGCGAGTAAAATGCTTGATCAAAAGCTGAAATCAATTAAAAGCAAATAAGAAAGTTATATTCAGTTGTGACCTCTTATATGAATCTCTTACAACTTAAACTACTAACTAACAATCTATGTATCTGTTGTATTTTATGAGTAACAAGAAAACAACTTGGAAATCAAAAGTGTGCAACATTTTGGTTGTGTAAACGTGTCGACGGTCAAGTCCAGTCCTTTCAAAAGCTTAGATCTTTTTTAAATTCTCTTGCAAGTTTGTATACGATATCTTCACTTTAGTGAGCAATTTACCTCAGATAGTAAACATTTGCGCAGACGGACATATGGACAGAGGAATGAAACGATAAGCTGAGTTTCATTCCGAATGGGAAACTGGCTAAGAATTTATATAATTTATTGGGGGTTTTTGAAGCTTCCTTTGTTGATCGTAAAGGTATTGAAAAAAAAAAAAATGAAATTATGACGCACTATAAAATCGAGTATGCGCGGCCGATTTTTTTCATTTTTTTAAAAGTATAGCATCGCTCATAGAATATACGATGAAATTTTTGTAAAAGCATTTGCTGTGGTTTATAAGTGATCATCAAAAAACCAATATCACTTTATATAGTATTGCAGTCGAAGAGTAATTACAAAAGACATTTCACAGATGGATGGACTGACAGACGGACATTTTTAAGTTTATTTAGAATTTAAATCTGATCAAGTATATATATATATACTTTAGGGGTGTCTGAAGCTTCTTTCGGCAAACGAGTTGCGAACGTTTTGCAAACATTTTAACAAAATGAGCACTTCTCTTATCCGTCGATGATGGTATATATATTCAATGACAGGTAATGTAAACGGTGTTGATTATTCGAAATTCACAGATTTATCTGATTGACTCGATATTGGTGATGCTACGATACTCATATATAATAATCTATTGTTCTATAACCCTCAAGAATTTGTTGATTGGAAAGAGAGAGAGAGAGAGGGAGAGAGAGAGAGAGGGAGAGAGAGAGAGAGATCGGATACGATAAAACTAAATTATTTTAAAGAAGAATGGATTTCTTGATGACACATGTTAATAAGATCTTTTCATCCGACTTATTCTCAATTAATTCCGTGCAGTGCTTTTTTGCTTAATAAAGGTTAACTGTAATAAGTTAACAAAATTCTTACTGCACCGTATAAAAAATTGATTTTACCTCTTCCCTTTTCATTTTGATTAATTTAGCACCTTGATTCCATTCTTTGCTATCGCATTTTAGGATCATAGTGGTGTATTCGCGTTTTATGTCTGCATAAAAATCTATATTAAAAGTAAAAATACTTTTTTACTCTTGGGAAGGTTGTAAACGATTTCAGAAAGTTTAATTTTAAGGTGAATTTGATCAATGCGGTGCCTTTCGCCTCAAAAACTTTCCCATAATAATGTAATCGATGACCTATTAGACTTAAACGCTGAACTTAATCATTTCTTGAGCGGTTGAACGTAAGTTAACATTATACTAATTACGAAAATATGATTATAAATTTTTTTTCGATTTAAGCCTTTTTATAAAAGGTACAATTTTGTAAATATTTTGTTTTTTTTTTTCTGAAACAAACTAATCACATATATTTTAATTACATGCATAAAGTAAACTATCTGGTTGATCGATTTGGAATTTATTGCCGATCTACATGAAATACAAAAATTACGGACTACGAGAAATACACCAAATAAGTACATTTTACTCTTACAAACAATGTTACTGACGCCGCGAGATAGCGGAGAATGATCGAACATTGTAAAATTTTTGATTCGCGTTTTTGAAGTTTTTTCTTTTTTTTTTTTTGTTACTTTTTAAAGCCGTAATTACGATGTATATTTTCAAACCTGATCGTTGGAATTCGATCGAAAATTTCTGACTTTTATCTCAATATTTCTAAAAAGTGAGAATAATTTCAATTAAATTCTTTTAAATAGGATTTGACGAGGAAAATTGCTGATATCCATTATAGTAATATTTTATGTTATGTTGCACATATATTATGTTCATACGAATGTATGTAACATACTTGACTTGGACTTGAGATAGGTGTACTTTCTATCATATTGATCGATTCAGAAATATTTTTAAATCAGAATCACTTTCTGAATTTTTCCGTTTCCGTTTAAAGGTATTTCGATGAAATTTGGTACACGGTGATCTGTGGTTTGCTCCAGGCCTTATTTTGAAAAGTCGTTGTAAGGGTGGTATATGGTATTTAACAATATGCCGTAGCGCATTATGGTGCTTTCACTTGTTTGTTTATTACTTAAGAGAATAAGTCCTAATTATAAGCAAATAAGAATGTTATGCAGGCTTTAGAGCGAATCTGGGGTACCCATGGCGTGAAGCCAAAGGAATGTAAGTGTAAAATGTATACATGATTAAATTTGGATGCTTTAAGTATTCCTATTTAGCTAGAGGATTTCGTTTATCTTATGTATGTATTTTATCTCCTCTCATGATCGTGTTCTTATTCAGTTTTGGCTTCATCAACTTTGTGTGGAATTTGGAACGTGCTGATACATTTATCGAGTTTCAACAAAATGTCTGCTTTTATTATATATAGATAAAAATCGCATTTTCAAACTTAATGAGACGATAAGTATTATAATAGCAGACTGACAGACAATTAAATAGACAGATAGGCAGATAAATACACAAACATGGAGGCATGATTAAATAAAATGACTTAGAGATATACGCTCATTGGAAATAGTTTTAAACCATGCGGTCCGATCTTTGATGATTGTTTCTAGTTGCTAAGCGGGGCGGGAAATATGTAACAACCATCTTTTGGGAGCGGGTATAAGAAATAATACGAACCGATCATACTGAAAGCAAAACAACATATCACTTTGTTTTTGTCTGATAGAGTGATTCTAGGATTGGTTATAACTGAATGTTCATTCTTCTACGAATTCATTTTTTCATTTAATCTTCAAAATATTATACTCAGTATTATGCGTATCCAAAAAATATATATAAAATTTTGAATCTGGACATGTTTGTCTACCTATGCTTTTCCGTCCATATGTAAATAATTAGATATATTGTATACTAATTGACATTGACAGGTTTTTCTTCCTTTTTTTATAGGTTTGTAAGAGAATCGTCAAAGTTTTGTATTGAGGAAATGAGCCAGATTCATGAAATATTTATATGAAATTCCAAGTTTTAACGCGATTCGAATTTTGTTAATAGACTAGTGCGATCAAAAAATATAGCGAAGAAAGGTAAAGCCACAGATAAGTCACGCTTATAAAATATATTGGAGACTTTAAAAGTATCGGGCCAAGCCGAGTATAATCTTTCTCTTATTATTGTTGTCCTTGTTCATTTAGTTTTTTCTCCAAAAGATTTAGGATTTAGAAAAAGAATGACAGAGATCGAGACTGAGAAAGAGAAAAAAAAAAAAAATAAAAATTATTTTTATCCTCGGTTTCTTTGCATTTCACCGTCTGCATTAGTTCAGTTGTAATGAATTCGCCACGCTGAACTTACATAGTAAACACAGCAAACATTTATTTTGAAAACGATAAAGGAATAAAACAACAATAAAGTTTAAGAAAAATTTTTCATGAAAGAATAAATTTTTATAATAATTTTTCTTTATTCATTGTATGTATGTATTATGTGTAAATGTGCTCATCTAATACTATATACAGTCTGTTTGGCTTCGCAGCAGCTGATACCTCTCGCCTTCTTTTTTTTCTAATTCTGTAGTAGCTGTATGGTAAAACTGAAATTGGGCTGCTGATTACTACATAGGTTTTTTTTTTGTGTTTTTTTGTTTATTGCTTACACTGGGAAAAAGTTGACAAATATTAAAATTAGTGGAATTGCTGGCGTTGTTGTTGTTGCACTAACGCAAGTTATTGTATTATAAATATTATATTAATTTAAAGCGTGCGGTTTTTCCGGAGGAAGCCAAAAAATACACACATATGTGTGAGTGCGTATG